CCCCTAGTACACGCGAAGAAAGAATAGTAGGGAGCCATAGAGGTGGCAAAATGAGTCGGACCTGACGAGTCGAGTTGTTTGACCCGCCATTTTTGGCGGGCTGGGTTGAGGTTTTCAGCTCGGTACTTTAAGTTGACCCACCCCGTCTAACCCGCTTGAAAAATCGGTCTGAGGCGGGGCAGGGCGGGTTTTTACTACAGGCTTCTTGTTAAAACTTTTTATTATTTTACTTAGAATTAAAATAACTTTAACTATAAAAACAACACTTTTCTCTTAGGATTATGTTGCTTGAATTGTATTATAAATTATTATACAAACAAATTGAATTATAATTGTAATGTTCTTTCTATAACTTTCTAATACATGTGTTTATTGGAAAAACTTGAAATAAAAGAACAATTGTATGGCATGCTGAATTATTAAGTTGTCAAACATTAGCTCACATGTTTTCTTTAGAAATAATTGTTGATTTTAAGAAAAGAAAGGATTTGATTAGTGTATATGTGTGACAAATTTATGATTTAACTATTAAGGAATCGGTCAAAATAAGAGTTTATATGATGTAAAGAGTGAGAAAGTTAGATGTTGATATTTTATACACTACTCTTTTATGCACTGTGATATTTTTGCAGTGTAATTGTTATCATTGTTTATCTTTTGTAAATTCTTAATTGGATTCTTTTAGTAGTTACTTTTTAAATAGGATTAGGATGATATGTATTGTTTATTTATTTATTTTGATACGTTTTTTTATTGTGCTTGAGTTTATTTCGTTATTTTTTTTGTTGAAATTGATATTTATTTATTTTATTTTTTGAACTGTTTGGACTTAAGACACGTGAAGTTCTATTATGCGTGAAAAAAATATTTTGCTGACCTCTTTGGTAATAAATATTTTTTTTGAAAATTATGTAGTATATCAACTTGTAAAATAAAAAATTAGCGAGCCGACCCACCAACTCGTTAGTAAATGGGGAGAGCTTGGCTTTTGAGCTCGGATGCCTAAGTTTGCCCAATCCGTTCCGCCCCGCTTTTGGACGGGCTTAAACGGGGCGGGCTTCCCACTTTGCCACCTCTAGGGAGCCATAAGAAAGGAGTAAGAGCATCCAACTCATTACCCTCCGCCAAGCGAGCTCACTTGGGAGAAAATCTTTCAACAAAAGTGGATGAACTATAACCCTGACCTCTATTGGCAGGGGAAGGAGAATGTGAAGGCTCCCGAGCAAAGAAGTTAACCAAGATAGTACTCGAATGACCCATTTCAAAAGCCAAGAACGAGACACTAGTTTTTACTTCCTCTAGGGAAATCACAACAACAGGAATCCGAGCATCTGAAACAGAATTAGAAGCAACAATAAGTGTCACCGACACCAGAATAGACAAGTCAATTGTAAGGCCTTGATCATTTGCGAGCACCAAAGCTTTTTGCAATTGACTCAACTGATTTACATTATCTGAAAAAGCACAAGTCGAATGGTTAAAAAAAAGAGGGCCCAAATCCCCATTTTCACTAAAGAGTTTGTCTCTTGGAATGTTCAAACAGACTAATTATCACATGAGTATCTATCCGCCTTTTGTTTTGTTGAAAGGAAAATACTTCACCGAGACCAAACCCTTCTTCATATCCGATAGGCCGGTAGAAATAAACTTTGAACCAATGTTTTTGAAAACCACCTCTGCAAGAGCGGGCACTCCCTATCAGAGTCGAAGATGAACAGAAGGCCATACACGCCTCAGAAGTCACAGGCTTCACCAATATAAAATGCTCTAGAAAATCACCCTAGTCAGAATTACCCTGATGGTAGAACCACCAATTCAAGAGAATTGCAACAATGATGTCGTCATGGGTCACAACTTCGATGGTGTTCATGATGAAAGAAGTCTCAACTATTTCGGCGGCCACCTAATGGTACCTATTAGCATTTTCCAACTCTATTAAGCGAAGACCCCTACGTGCCAATACATCATCTTTATAATGGTCATTAGGGTTGACTCAGGACAAGGCGTCATGTTGCCCATGACACTTCATATGACGAGCAATTTCAACATCATTAGGTTTATGTCCAGTTGACTTCCAATATGTTTTGACAAAGAGACCGACACATTCCTTTCTTCAACATGAAGCCTTTATTTCTGCCTCATTCAAGATTAGAGAAGGCATCAAACTCTCGACAAGGTTTTCACCCCGTCAGATTTTCCAAGAAATAAAGGTTTTAAAGTATTCATGGAGAGAGCTTCATCTGAAAGACATTCTCTATATGACTCTTCCATCTTTGAATAATCATTCAAAATGATGATTCCTGATTCAAAACCCCCACTGACAGAGGGGAGGAATGTGACTCAGACTTCATTCGCTTTTTTGAAGATGAATAAACACTACCCTCCGAAACACTCTCGACGATAATAAGGTTACTGCTCATTGTAATCAAAATGCAATAAAACTTGAGTAAAAGTTGAGGGGAAAATAAGGTACCTTGAAGTATGAGGGCGAAAACGCTGAAGCAAGGAAGGGAGCTAAAAAGTCGAAGCTTTAATGCTTTAAAATTATGAATGTGCGACAACGGTTACTCTAGAAGACAAGTGCTATTAGATAAAAGGGAAAGACTTAGAGGGATAAGGGAAGCCTAATCTACAAGACGGTTAAAAATTTTATCCATGACCTTTTTCCATCTTTATTTAACAAAAGGAAATCGAACGGATCAGATCGAAAGCAGGAACAAAGGCAAATAAAGGGTCAAATTTCATATGGGGAAGACAACCATACTTAAGTGCACTTGAGTACACGGAAAGCTGCACCGTGTCACCTCACACCTGTCCAAGTTACACGTCAAAGAAAAAATGGCGAAACATTTTAATAATTAGATTGCATGTAATGCTCGCATACAACCATACTTTGGAAAAACTAAGCAGCGCATGCCAGCCGACGCGTAGACGAACATCCTTTGAAGCCAACCATTACTACTAAAAGACTCCCCCGACATCAAACATGCCCGACGAGTCTTGGGGGCAACTGTTACGTCTCGACCAAAGACCCGAGACCTACTACTCCACGCCGATCAAATACCCAAGAGCTATTACTCCACGTCGGCTAAATGCTCAATAACACGAGAGCCATTATCCAACCTACTCTGTCAGGCCCAGTGTATAAATGCATTCGTAAAGGGTTCTCAAGTACACAATCTATAATATCCACTTTCACTACCACTATATTGAACCCTAAATTGACTTGAACGTTAGAGTTCTAACCATGCAGGTACCCCATGAGTCTATCGTATCAGAGATAACAAACACTAATTGGCGACATCATATAAAGACCGATCTCTCTAGTTCAATAAACATCGTGATCGTAACCTTTGATCGACAATGTCACTTCGACGTAGTGCATTAGAAACTTTGCTCTGCCGTAGTTTGTGCAATCATCACCATTTTTGATTCCACAACGAAACAATATGAACGACAATTAGAACCACTTTTAATGAATGCAACACCTGATATAAGATATAGTTGAATTGACTACAACGATTATAATGAACGTAATACATAATTTAGTGCACGACTACTTAGTGAATATCTACCTATTCGTCAATTTGAAAAGAAACTCTGAATTAACCCTTCATATTGGACCGATTTTATTAGGTGACAATGTTTTAAAAATCAGGCTGGAGAACGAACTGGTGAAATTTCCAGTTTAAGGTTCAATTGGTTAAACGGGCTAAACTTACGGTTGAACCGTTTATTAATAAATTAATAATATGAAAATAACTTTCATAGATATGTCACACATAATCATATGTTCATAGCTTAATAAAATAAATATTAAAAAAATCTATTACAAACTTAATACAACAATATCGATAGTACATATAATAACATAACATAATTTTACACTTTATTTCAACCTTCATTTAAGAATATTTTGAACAAATTAAAGAAACAATAAAATAAGGTAAACTAATTTAAACCAAAATTAAAATAATACAACATAATAACTAAAATAAAATTTAAATAATTAACAATATCTAAATTAAATAAGATAGAATGCCAAAAATAAACCATACAATATACTTAATTAAACAACAAAAAATAAATTAGAGTTGATCAATGACAAACAAGTCATAATTGACAACAACAAACAATATTGACTTAAACGACAATCAATATTGAGTTGGACAACGTGAACATGTTTGAAAGAGACGACGTGATGACGATGAAGTGTGGTTGAAAGAAAAATTATAACAGAGTGACAAAACTTAAAAATTTGTATGGTTGTAAAAAAACACAGAATTCTTTTTTGTGATTGGAGAATGTATGTTAAGTTTTGATATTAAACTTTTTTAAAAAATGACCAATTTGATGAATTTTTTTGAACCAGACAATTTTACAAAATCGGCTCAGAGTCTTTGATTTGAATGATTTTGAACGGTTCAATCCGATTTTTTTAGTTTTATTTCGATTTTGACCCACTAACAATTTTAAAAAGTTGACCCAACCAGATTTTGAACCGATCGGTTCGATCCGATTTTTAAATCACTAATCGAGGATTTTTCCAACCATATAAAAAAAAAAATTCAATTATGTATTTCTATTAGACATACCAAAAGTAAATCTTCATAAAACTGGGCGATTTTCAAAACATTGATATACGATTTTCCGAACCATATCAAAAAGAAATTCAATTATGTAGACATACCGAAAGTAGATCTTCATAGTAAACTATGGACCCACATAGTTCAAGTGGTACCACGTGGCAGTAAAAGTAGGAGACAAGGTACCATCCTTGACGCAGCTGCAACGTAGCAGATCTCGCTAGCAACCATGGTAGCATTCCATCATCCATCTTCTTCTTCACCCGCCCCAATTCTCTGACTTTCTCTCACTCTCCCTCTTTTCCACGATTCAATTCCCATTTCCCCCCTCAAAACAAAACTACAAACCCTAGAAATCTTCAACCATTCCATTTCGTCAACTCGATCTGAGTGAATGTTCAAAACACCGTCGCAATGGCGGGAAGGTCTGACGCAGTATCGATCCACGTTCCTTACCAGAATCTAAGGAAAGCTTCTCCCACCGCTGAGGTCGAACTCATCGGCTTAGATGAACCTCGTCACCGGATCGATCTCAATTCGCCGCGCTCCGATCAAACACCGCCGAAAAATAACGCCTCCATAGTTCACCTTGTTCTCAGTTGCACTGTCGCTGCCGGTGTTCAGTTTGGTTGGGCTTTGCAGCTTTCTCTTCTCACACCTTACATTCAGGTTCAAACGCGGTTAACCGACTTATTCTAAAATTTGACCAGATCGGAATTTGTGTTAGAATTTGGATTTTGATTTGTGATTTATTATAGTTATTCTATCTGTATGATTTTGATGCAGACGTTGGGAATAGGACATGCGTTTTCTTCATTTATTTGGCTTTGTGGCCCCATTACAGGTCTTGTGGTAGGTTTTCTTTTCATCTATGAATTGAATCCGCATCATATTTGGAATTTGAAGTTCATTTCATACTCGGCCTTACTATTTTGGCTCTTCGCTTTCTATTGCTTCATTAAAATATGTTCAAGCATCTCTATTTTTTTTTTTTTTTGACTTAGTTTCCATTTGATCTTAAGTGATATTATTGGCATATACAACAATTTTTATGATCAATGGTAATGTGTGCCTATAAGAGAAGTTATTAAGAAAGATATGAGATTAACGGTTTAGATAGAATCATGGTCTCTGATAGAACATTATGACGAAAATTGATCAATGTAGACGACCCCACATAGTGGGATAAGGCTTGGTTGTTGTTGTTGTAGTAGTAATGTGTGCCTATGCCGAACTATTTGTAAGTTTGCATCTGCCTCTTGTTGCTTCATCCTTGTGATTTATTTCAACCTCAAGCCATTTTTTAGTAACGCTGATATTTGCAATCTCAATCTTTTTGTTGAGTGTTGATGGTGTTCTTCAAACAAATTTATGTTTTGTTATTGTTGATTTCAAACTGGTAAACTACAGGTTCAACCCTGTGTTGGTATTTGGAGTGATAAATGTACTTCAAAATTTGGGAGAAGACGTCCATTCATTCTTGCAGGATCTCTTATGATTTCCTTGGCTGTAAGTATTCTTAACACTGCTTGTTTTCTTACATGCTTTTTTTTACATTGTATTGCATATAAGCTAAGCTAAGTCTTATAATTTAGGTGATACTGATCGGGTTTTCTGCAGACATTGGATATATATTAGGGGATACAAAAGAGCATTGCAGGTTTCTGTTTCAATCATTTTGTACTTTTCTTACTCATTTAATTTATTCTTCTTTTTGAATTTCACATAAATGAACTAAGATATTGATGGAATTCATCCGTAAAAAATAAAATTGTAGTACATTTAAAGGGACTCGAACAAGGGCTGCTGTTGTATTTATTCTTGGGTTCTGGATGCTGGACCTTGCCAACAACACAGTGCAGGCAAGTTTTTTTAATGAATTAAAGTGTGCTTCCATTACATTAACTTTATACTGATGACGATGCAGTTGAACGATGGTAAACTAAACCCTGTATTTCTTGAAATTTAAATATAGGGGCCAGCTAGAGCACTTTTGGCAGATCTGTCGGGTAAACATTTCTTATTGTTCAAGTAAATTGTTCAAATTCTCAACAGCCACAATGGGAATCATTGTTTCTCATCATGCATTAAAATATTGTTTGGTAGTCAGAAGATATTATGAAATAACACTTTTGCTCATTCGTAGGTCCTGATCAACGCAATGTATCAAATGCTGTCTTTTGCTCATGGATGGCAGTGGGAAACATTCTAGGATATTCTTCTGGTGCTAGTGGAAAGTGGAACAAGTGAGACCTTGCTAATATTTTCGTGTTATTCCTGTTTTCTGCATACTGTTAACTGTATAAAATCCATTGAACTGCTTAGTAATTGAACATTTTATTATTATTACACTCATTTTCGGAAATGTGCGCTCTTATAAAAAGAAATACTTAGAAACCAGACAAGGGAGAATAATTGGTTTTACACTTAGGTTGTATTAATATGGGAGAATGTATCCTTAGAAAAGAATAATGGGTTGAAACACAAACATGGATGATAGACATGACACACAGACGCCGGTAATGTCCAAAATATAGGGCACAACAAGGATATTTGTTATTATTAATTGTTATTGTTATTGTTGTTGATAATAAGTGATAGTTAGTTAGAAAGATATATAGTTAGTTATGCTAAATAGAAAGTTAGTTACTTGTTGCTTATTCTAGAAGCTACTACTACCTTTGTATATATACTTTCTTTTCTCATTCATCATATACAAGAGAAGCTACTATTCCTTCATCTTCTTCCTTCAATTCTACATGTTGTTTGCTATATTTCTTCATGTGTACATTAATGGTGTAATGCATAATATGGTATCATCGGTTTCGATCCATTTTTCCATTCTTCCGCATATACTTCATTGAATTGGTTGTTGATATTTCTTGCTTCTCTTTCGTGATCTTCTTCTATCCTTCACTTTCTTATTTCAACATTGTTCTACCATGCCGCCACAGGTTGATTCTACGGCTAACCGCATTACCAATGGTGATGTTGATTCGGTCTATTATGTCCATCCTAGTGAAGGTTCCAATTCTGTTAGTATCACACCTCAACTCAATGGTTCCAACTACATTTCTTGGTCCAGATCTATGGGACGTGCTCTTGGCGCTAAGAACAAAATTGCGTTCATCAATGGTTCAATTCGTGTTCCAAGCGCAACTAATCTTACTCGTTCTGCATGGGAACGATGTAACTGCCTTGTTCATTCATGGATTCTGAATTTTGTGAATCCTATTGCTCAAACCATTGGATTTTTGGAAAATGCTCTTGACGTGTGGAATGATCTCAATGATCTCAAGGAGAGGTTTGCAAAAGCTGATCGTATTCATGTTTCTAATTTGCGTGTTGAGATCAATACTCTCAAACAAGGTTCTAAGTCAGTTCTTGAATACTTCACTGAATTACGCGACTTGGGGGAAGAACTCAACTCTCATAAACCAATCCCTAGTTGAACTTGTCCTTAACAATGCAAATGTGAAGCTATGAGGATTGCTCGTGATTTTCGTTTCGAGGATCAAATCATTCAATTTTTAACCAGTTTGAATGATAAGTTTTCTGTCATAATAACTCAAGTCTTATTAATTGTCGCTACTCGAAAATGCACGACGGAGAGGCGAAAAAGGAAAGACAGAAGAGTCGCCATCGAACCTTATTTATCCCAAAAGGGAAAGGGGAAACATCGAGAAAACCCCAAGAAAGACACAGATAAGATGGTCTCATGACCAAGAGAAAGGGTGCGAAAGTCGGTTATGCGAAGGGAAGGAATTAGCACCCCTCGCATCCATCGTACTCGATGGGAACCATTTGCTTGTCTATGTGAATGTATTTGCTAAAAGGTATTGCTTTAAATAGTGTTCTAAGGGGAAAGAGAAAAGGCTGGAAATAGGGAAAAGAGACTCGGTAGGACCTCGCGGTCCTATGCCTACGTATTCTCAATAGACATGAGAAAGTCAGAGTCAACGTAGTTCGGAGGACTACGGATAAAAAGATGGAAGAGTGTGATCGACAAGGATTGGGGCCCTTGTGCCTACGTATCTTCATTTAAAAGAAGTGAAGAATCAGAGCAGCCGTAGTTCGGCCTACGGTTAACTGGTATTTTGTGGACGATGCTAACGTACGCATTCTAGCAGTTAGGTGTATTGCAGCTCGCTTGTGGAGTCTTAGGCGTTACCTGTTTGCGGTAGAACGAACGTAACATAACCTTTTTGAAAAGAGATAGTTTTCGCCATCGAGGCAAGATGTCACATTTGATTTGTGAAAGTTATTTTTAAAGGTGAAATAGGTCCTCGGATAGTAACCCCCGCAATACCCAATTCTTTATCTCAAAAGAATTATTGTGAAAATTGTGTGGCGAATATAGTCATGTCTTCGTATTGAAAGACGAGTATCGAGACCAAACACTCTAAAGTGAGTATCCTGACACTCGGAGAGGAAGAAATCTTCACTCAATCCTTTCTCTTTAGTTCAATACAAAGAGAACTTCATTCTTTTATTAAAGATGTTTTGATCTTGAATGGTAAGTGTTTTACGACAGTGAACCCTAAAGATAATGTCAAGCACTCAGGATAGGAGAAGGCCTTCGCCTAACCACTCCCCAACCATCCAAGTTTATTAGGAAAAGAGTTTTGAAAATGCGCTTGGTACACGACCAAGGTTTTTAGGTTCACAAAGACAAAAGAAATAGAGAAGAGTTGTAAAAAAGAAAAGGCGGTGAATTGGTTTCGGACGACGATTACTTGAAGTTTAAGAAAGGCTCCTCGGGTCCAAGTAATCGGAAGACAGAGTCAAAGACTTGACTCTCCCTCCTTTTATTTTGAAAAGAAATGGATAGTTGTTAATTGGTTTAATAGTTTGTTGAGAAAATTCGCTTGACGTTGGATCAAGCGTGCAAAAACCGCGGTGGAATGGAAGTGGGTTTGAAAATGGCTCGACGACGAGTCGAGGTTCTGGATTGAATGCGAAACCGGCCTGACGACGTATAAAGGGTTAAGGTGTGAGAAACAATACTAGTCCGTGGGGGTGCTCCTAATATCGAAACCACAATGAAGTGTGACAGTGTGTGCGATAGGTTGATGGCGAATGCGGACAAGCACTTGACTTACAAAGGGGTGTTTGAAGATGGCTCGATGACAAATCGAGAATTAGTTTGAAAACGGTTTAATCGAGAATTAGTACGAATGTGACTCCTTTTGGACTTGGTCTCAATTTGTAGTGGACATAACTTTTGGGACATTGATTTTGTAATAGACTACTTTTGTAGTGTGGGCTTTGTCACAATCCATGGGCTTCAATTATTTGATTCAGTATCCAATACACATTCTCTTTGTAGAACATTTTGTATAAATGAGCTTTCTTGATCTATGAACTTTTGTAGACCTTATGATATATGCCATGCAGTTTCTCGATTCCTGACAAGGACAACTTAAATTCCCACTCGAATCCATAAATTCCAAAACTTTTGTATTCTTCACTAAAACTTGAGTTAGTTCACCACGAATTGATCTTGAATTATGAATTGGATTGCTGAATCGAAATAAATCCCGAATTATCTTTGAACTTAGAATAAGCTAGGACCCTGAATCAATGAATTCGTCTGAACCCGACCACTTGAATTCAAATAATCTGGACTTGAAGTATGAATTCCACTGCATGAAACCCCAATTTGAAAATGTTATGACCTCTGATGGTTTTCTCCTCCTGAAGCCCTTGACTTCAACACGTCCTTTCCCTTAAAACAATACATAACCAAGACAATAGGATAATGAAACACACTCTTCTTGTTTAACCAAGATTTTAGGCTAAACTCACTTGAATCTCTATCATTAACTAGCATACTCACCTGGCCTGACAACCTTGAATTCATCCTCACCGCTCTTGGACCTCAACATCCATTTTTGGATTTTTGTTTTTAGCATGGTTAGTGTTAAGAGTCCCACATCGGACAATATATGGCATGAACATGTGTTTATAAGTGGGAGCAATCCTCACTCTACCAACCGGTTTTGTAGGGTTGAGTTAGGCCCAACCACATTTCTTAACATGGTATCAGAGCTTCGTTTAAGATCCGGTGGGCCACCTTCTATGGTTTCCGCTATCGGGCCACCCACCATTTATTTCCACGCTTCAGTTGTCCAATCCTGAGCGTGAGGGGGTGTGTTAAGAGTCCCACATCGGACAATATATGGCATGAACATGTGTTTATAAGTGGGAGCAATCCTCACTCTACCAACCGGTTTTGTAGGGTTGAGTTAGGCCCAACCACATTTCTTAACAGTTAGTATACAAATGTTCAAATGAAGGTTACATACAAGGTAGGACAAATTTGAGGTATGACATTAATGGAGCCTCTTCCACCCATAAATCGAGTTTACTCTATGGTTATACAAGAAGAGAGTAACAATGTTTCTTTGCTTTTTAAAGCTGATTCTACATCTAATTTTGATGAAGCTAACACTCTCATTAATGCTTATGATTCAAGAAAATCTATGGATCGTGGAAAACCCTCCAATTATTATAGTAGTTCTTCCAATACTAGAAAAGATGGTAGAGTTTGCACTTTTTGTCACAGGTCTGGACATACAATTGAAGTTTGTTATCCCAAACATGGTTTTCCTCCCTATTTTACTAAGAAGCAAGCTTCAACAAACACATCTAGTGCAGCCACTAGTGATACACAACTTGTGGTTCATAATGGTGAAGAAGTTTGTGCAGTTAATCCTGGTGCCAGCAACACTCAAGAACAATTTGCCCAATTGATTGGCTTACTACAACAAACGAATTTGATGCCTCCTACCCAAAACACAACTTTCAATACCAATCATATCTCTACTTATTATGGTCATACACCAAATAAAACTTCAGGTAAATTTTTTGTATCCACAGTTACCTGTTCTACCCACATTAAATCTGACTTCTGGATCCTTGATTCAGGTGCAAATGATCATGTGTGTTCTTCTTTACATTGGTTTAGCTCTTACCATAAAATTCAACCTGTCAATGTTTGTTTGCCTAATGGTTCTATTGTTGTTGCCAAACATGCAGGAACAGTTAATTTTTCACCCCAATTATATCTCACCAATGTGTTATATACCTCTGATTTTTTCTTAAACCTTTTATCTGTTTCTAAACTATGTCAGTTTCTACATTGCATATGTCATTTTTCTCATAATGATTGTCTTATTCAGGATGTGAAAACCAAGATGATTGGTTTGGCTAGACAGTTTGAAGGGCTGTACAGACTTAACAA